CTCTCTCTCTCTCTCTCTCTCTCTCTTTCTCTCTTCCTCCCCCTCTTTCTCTCTTCCTCCCCCTCTCTCTCTCTATTCCTCTCTCTCTCTCTCTTCCTCCCCCTCTCTCTCTCTCTCTCTTTCTCTCTCTCTCTCTCTCTCTTCCTCCCCCTCTCTCTCTCTCTTCCTCCCCCTCTCTCTCTCTTCCTCTCTCCCCCCTCTTTCTCTCCCTCTCAAAACATTCTCTAGGGTGGTTTATGGTTTTATCTCGGCAGTCAGTAAACAAAGGGATGCCAGTTACACATAGGCGTAGACTATATGGGAGGCCCTCCTGCAAATATGTAAAAGTGAAAACTCTGCAGAATAAGAAAAGCCTTCCATGTAAACTGCGGTAATTATTCTTATTTGTCATGTTTGATTTCCAGGATGAACAGCCTCGGTCGTTGTCCGTATCTTCGAGTGCCCGCAGCGCCAGGTCAGTGCCGGGCATGAAGCGGAAAGATTTGCCTGCTTTGGCTCCCAACTTTCCCGCCAACAACAGGTAATGATATGGCTGATTCTGCACAGTCAGTAAATCATTTGCACCCCTGAAAGTGCCAGTACCCCTGAGACTATGTTCAGCAGTGGGCACCTCCATTTGTGTCTCAGGACAGCTGTCGCTTAAAGAGACCCTGTCACTGTACCCACTCAGGGCAGGCCTGCCCTCCACGACCCACTTATACTCACCCCTCAAGCGTTCCTCCACCGCTCCTTCCTCTGTTCCAGCCAGTGCTCCTGAGTATGTGACCTCCCTCTATGATGCAGTGCCCTGGCCTATCGGAGGAAGGAGCAATGGGGGAATGCTGCAGAGACAAGTAAAAAGTTTGTCCTTAATGGGAAAAGTGACAGGGTCTCTTTTAAGATTTCTCTTGTATATTTACAATTCATCTTCTCTGCTGTTTCAGGAGCAACAAGGGAGCTGTGGGCAACACCGTCACCACCATGGTACATAATAACTACTCCTCCGACGACCGAGGCCTCAGCGCAAAAAGCTCCAATCAGAAGACCCCATCACTCAAGTAAGCGCAATTACCCAAATAGTCAGCATGCTTGATGGTCCGCTGAGGGCACCTATAGGCTCATCACAGTGGCTTAGTGGTTAGAAATTCTGCCTTGTATCACTGGTACAGATCCTGTGCCAAGACATTATGTGCATGTAGTGTGCATGCTCTCTTTGCTTATGTACACCCTTAAAGGAGAACTATGGGGTCGGGCTTTTCCCCATAGTTCTCCTCAGGGTAACGGGAGGACACAAACTAGCGTCCTCCCGTTACCCTAAGCTCAGTATACCGCGAGCTACAGCTCCCTATATACTGAGACGCCGCAGCCGGAACGGATCCCGACAATACTGCTGCGTGAGTGACAGCTGGCCCTGCCTATCTGAAGGCAGAGCCAGCTCCCCCGTCCGCTCCCCCAGTCAGCACTGGAGGATCGGACAGGGAAGAGGGGAAATCCCTGCAGGGAGCCGTGAGTGACAGTCACGACTCTCTGCAGGGATAGATCGAGAAGTGAGCGAGCGACGGTATGTGTTCCCTCACTTCCCGATCTACTGAGCCGACCTGTGACAGTCTCATTGTCACAGGTCGGCTCAGATTATGAGACTGAGTGAAAAGCCCCTCCCCTCATAATTCTCCTTTTTAATGTGGGTGTAACATGAAACATGATCTGAAAGGTAAACTTAGCTTTTAAAGCGGAGAGTGAGACCCAGCAGTGAAAGGGTTAAAGCTGCTTTACAAATCACTGCTGGAGCGCGAGGGCCACACAACGAGTACCAAACAGCCGCATTTGTGGCCCTCGGGCCGCAAATTGGCCAGCAGGTCTCTGGAGGTATTGCACATTATTTTGGAGCATCCATATTTTGTTTTATTTCACTTTGGCGTGACTGCTGCGGAGAAGCTTTTAGCTGATGAATGTCGCCCTCTCGTTTTTTTTTTTTCCCCCCACTCCTCACAGCAACCAAAGATCTGCCGCCGGTGAAGATCCCGGGAGCAGCTTCCAGAAATCGCAGAAAAACCTCTCCGGCACCAACAACCTGGGCCGCAACAACACCGGAGGGAGCTCGCCGCAGAAGAGGCGCGAGGTCACCACCGAGGAGGCAGAACGGTTAGTGTCCTCTTCACCTTGCTCCGGCACTTTCTGTGTACCGGATTGGATCGGCTGTGCAGATAGAAACAAACGAAACCTCCCAGATACGTTAGAAACATTCTGTAAGGAGTATTTGAAGCTTGTTTGGATTGTATAACAAATATCATTTGGTGACATTTAGCGTCTTTGAATTGTCTACAAGCGCAGTGCTCCAGGGAGAAAACTTGTATGTAGAGCAGCAGCTAAAATACCTTCCAGACCTGATCATGTGACCAGCTGCGCGTCCGTTTCTTCCTCCAATTAAAGTGACATTAAACCCTCAGATGTTTTAACATAAACCAATACTGTAATGTGCGCCTTACTGTACTCCATGGTAGTTTCCCTTCTCTTTGCTGCTCTTCCTTTTAAATCCTCATGCCTGCTCATGCTTGGGAAGAACTTCCCTTTTCAGCTCAGGGCCTCTTCCTGTAGTGCTGGCTCAGGTTACAAGCCGATACAAACGGATACACAGACACCCTGTATCCATTCCTGAGACAAGGCAGTCTGCTGCAAAACAGAAGTTCTGCCCAGCATGAGAACAGATACGGATTTAAAAGGAAGAGCAGCAAAGAGAAGGGAAACTACCATGGATTACAGTGAGGTGCACATTACAGTACTGTTTTATGTTAAAAAATCTGAGGGTTTAATGTCACTTTAAGTGAGGTGTGCACAGACTTTTCTGCATTGTTCTTTTACTGGAAAAAGCAAAATGGCTGCCGTGGCGATCTTCTATTGGTGAAGGAATGTGCAACACACTGTGTCAGCTCAATAGGCAGTCTGGCGCCAGAGGTAATTGTCTCAGAGGCATAATGTGTGACTTCTGTCCCTGTGCACATACTGGATACGTTTTTCCTCATCCTGTGGGGGGGGGTACAGCAGATGTCTTGGGTAGTGATGGGCTCGGTCGTGTTCGCAGCTCCACGTGCCGAGCCCGCCAGGAAGCTGACAGCGCCAATCACAGGCGCTGAGACAAATCCCGATCTTTGCAGCTGCGGAACGGGCTTATGTCTTAGTACCTGTGATTGGCGCTGCGGCTCTGTCAGCTTCCTGGTGGGCTCCGCACGTGGAGCTGCGAACACACACGCCCGAGCCCATCACTAGTCTTGGGTATAAGCCCTGCCCTTAGGAGGGTGGACGCAGAGTGAAAAGGTTGATTTCCCCCCTCCCCCTGGGCCTGTACCCACTGGATGGAAAGCTGAGACCCACGCCAGCTTACATCATCCTTCCTTCCCAGGTTTTAAACATTTTAGGCTTACATTTTATCCAGGGGCACACCAGGCGGTCACATGACGAGCGTGGGTTCTCTTCCTTTTCTCCTGCAGGGGGCAGTCTTCAATGCTGTAGAGAGCTCTGTTTCTATTACGCTGATTCCCTGGGCTCCATGATGACTCCGAGCCAAAGGGGACACTTCCGGTTTAAGGAATAATGTATTTTTAACGTTCGATTTGGGCTTGACGCTTCCGTTTTCATATTCGGAATAACTACCAAGCCCCTCCCCCTCTTAAGTCTGATGATTGAATGATTGGTGTGTTTATGGGCAGGTCTTACGGCAGCACTACAATTGTTTGTTTTTGGGATTTTTTTTTCAGGTTTATTCTGCAGGTGAACAATGCCGCGGTCACCATTCAGCGATGGTACAGGCGTCAGCGCCAGAAGAACCGGGCGGGAGAGATGGCGATAAAACATATGCTGGCTTCCAAAAAGGAGGTAAATGTAGGCCATCGCCATGTATGACTGGAGGTACACTTTGACCTGGATAGATACAGATAATCATCCTACGGATTAACATAACATGCGATCTGACACCAATTGGGGACATCAACAGAAATCAATCAGGTTTTGTTTCCCGAGCTGTCACTTTTTGGACCCTGGGCTACACAGAGCTCCGGCCACCCCATATGGTACTGGAGTCTGTTCATCATTTATCATTTGAAGTGATTTTTGCTCAGGCGTAGTGTAGCTGCAGGTAATAGCCAATAGCAGTCCGGCTATTGCTCCCTGTTGTTTACATTCTGCTGCCAATCACGGAATCTAGCCACCGGCCGGCAGCAAGACGGACACAAAGTATTTTGTTAGTCACTGCCTACATTTTTTTAGTGTTCACCAAGCAACCGACAATTTTTTAGTGTGCATCCAGGGCCCATTCACAATAGATGCAGTGCGTTCCGGTCCGATTCTGGCCAGAACGCACTGCCTCGCATTGCGGCCGGCTCACTTTTTAGTGGGGCAGGAGGGGGCGTGGTGGGCCATTCAAGTGAATGGCACCGTAGCCACGCCCTCTGGCCGCAATGCGATCGCCCGCTCGGGATCGCAAGGCACATTGTGCCTGCAGTCCGGTCCGGTGTGGTGCGATCAAAATAGTGCTTGCCGCATTTTGATCGCACCGGACCGCAGGCATAATGTGCCTTGCGATCCCGTGCGACCGATCACATTGCGTCTGGAGGGCGTGGCTACGGTGCCATTCACTTGAATGGCCCACCACGCCCCCTCCTGCTCCACTAAAAAGTGAGCCGGCCACAATGCGAGGCAGCGCGCTCTGGCCAGAATCGGGACGGAAGGCACTGCATCTAGTGTGAATGGGGCCTAAGCCAATGGCAAAAAAAAAATGGAGACAGTGCCGGTTGCTTGAATGCCGGATAATGGGGAGTGTACTGTACTTCTCTTGCCAAGGCACTGCTGTTCTGTAGCCTCATAACTGTATACCTGCAGTGTGAGATCATCTAAGGATCTGCGGCCTCTGACTGATTTGTAGTGAGATTTGGTGATGTCACTGCTCTGCTGCTCACTGTTCTCCTTTGCTGGAGAGGAAGCCGTACCTGAGGATCGGCATTGCTAGGATCTCCCTGTTTCTGCTTTATCCTCCCTGTGGATTTGTGTTTCCTCCACCTCGTCTCCTGCTGGTTCTCGACTAATTCCCCCTTCAATCATCAGATGACCAGAGGGGCAGCTCTGACATAGGCTCCTGTACCAAAATGGCCGCACTAGTGTTCCATGGAAAATAATGTAAACTATGGATTTACTTTACAAGGTCCAGCTGTTCTTTCTTGACAATGCTCACAATCTTCCTTTTCAGGAGCGGCAGCAACAGCCTGACGAGAACTCTTTCTTGAAATCCCAGCAGACAAAGGAGGAGGAGAGACGCCGGGTCAGAGAGGAGAAGGCACGACAGGCTCGGCGTGCAGCGATCCAGGTAAGAGCCGCGGTCTGCTTGGTTAAAGGAGAACTATGAGGGGGGGAGGGTGCTTTTCACTCACCTCATAGTTCTAGCCGACCTGTGACAATGAGACTGTCACAGGTCGGCTCAGTAGATCGGGAAGTGAGGGAACACATACCGGCGTTCGCTTACTTCTCAATCCTGTCACAGCTCTCTGCCGTGACAGGGGAGGGGCTGGATTCCCCCCTCCCCGCTCCGATCGGACGAGGGAGGGGACGGGTACAGCTGGCTCTGCCTCTAGATCACTCACGCAGCTGGGCGAATCCAGACATAATTGTCGGGATCCGCTTCAGCTGCGGCGTCTCAGTATATAGGGAGGTGTGGCTCGCGGTATACTGAGCTTAGGGTGACGGGAGGACGCTAGTTTGTGTCCTCCCGTTACCCTAAGGAGAACTATGGGGAAAAGCCTTAACCCCATAGTTCTCCTTTAACAAGGTGCTGAAATCGACCAGATAACCCCAACTTTAATCATACTCTGCCCTTGCAGGGGATAGTAACATATTTCACTTTACGCCCCATGCTCACCTTTCCTCCCTGGCACTTCCTATCGTAGCACAGTAAATCCTGCTGTTTGACACAGAGCAGCCACTGCTGTATTCTCTCCATCTGTGAATAGATGATATGGTTGTGTGGGCGGAGCCATGCCAAATTAAAGAATATACAGATTGCTGCAGGGAAAGGAACCCTGGGCTACACAGAGCTCTGAGACCTTTCTGCAGCCAATTGTTATAGTGTGCTTATTGCATCTATAAATGTGACTAAAGTGGTTACAACCAGAAATATCAAAAAATATGGACAGCTATAAAAGGCACAAATTATTGTAGCTATGTGTTCTTTAATACATCACTAAATGTATTTACTTATACAATAAGTAGAAGTACCTGAATTTGTCTTGGTATCAGCCCTGTACAGCAGAGCTCAGAGAAGCAGCACAATGAGCCAATCAGGTGTGCTGCAGTGCAAGGAACCATGCTGTTAGGAGGAGAAAGCAAAGGGAAAGAGAAATGGGCTTATTTATCGTCTTCCTCTCCTTTTCATTGTCCCTTTTTTAAAATTGCCTCCCAACGATAGGAGCTGCAGATGAAGCGAGCGCAGAAAGCCATAGACACTCAGAGAGTGGCGGAGGAGGAGCTGGCGCTGCTGGTACAAAGCGGAAAGGTGGGCAAGAAGAAGACCAGCTGCAATACAGCGATGCCTCCAACGGGAAGGAGCAACAAGTCCAAAAACAATGCAGGTAAGAGACGCAACGCGGCGCTGATTAACGTGTACCCTGGAGGAAAATCGGCGGATGTATGTGCTTCACCATAGCGTGTGCTGGGCTGCCAGACTTCCTGCAACAGGATGACGGGAAGGTTACTATTCCTTGAATTACCTCCATGGGGACACAGGTCGAAGGACGCACAGTACACATTGCTCAAATCCAGGGAAACTTCCAACTCCCTCCGCCAGCCATGAAAACATTTCCCCATATGCCCGTTATGTTTGATGTTTGTCTGTCCAGAATAAACATACTCACAAGACCATCCCATCCCCCTGTTGTCCTTTTTTCCCCCCTTCTTCCACATGCCGCCATCTTTGTTTTCTTTGTCTCTTCCTGGTTCTTGCAGCCAGCCCCCTGATGACGGGGCACCAGAGTTAGTGCATGGGCAGATAGAGATCCGGTGCCATGTCTATCACAATAGCATGGCCACAGTGTCTCCGCACCCAGCCTCCTGGGATGTACGTGTCGCTAATACTAAACGGCTGCAGGGCAATAGGTGCCGAGCGCTCGCAAGATCTCCCAACACTATGGCAACATGTAATATGAAGGACACGGTGCCGCATCTTCTACAGATGGAGAGCTGGTGCCAGGTCTTTCATATTATTCGTTGCCATAGTGTAGGCCATAGTTATTGTAGGTGCCAAAACATAGTGTATTCGTTGCCATAGTGTTGCCATAGTTATTGTAGGTGCCAAACTCCTGCAAGATCACCCACCGCTATGTCAGCATGTGATGTGAAGGACATGTCACCGGATCTCCATCTGTGCATGCATGAAATCTGGTGCTGCCTCATCATGAGGTTGGCTCCAAGAACCAGGACAAGCCCGTAATATGAAACATACGGTGCCGAATCTCCGTCTGTACAAGATCCGGCCCCATGTCTTTCATATTACATGCTGCCATAGTTTCGGGAGATCTTGTGCGTGTTTGGCGTTTGGGGCCCCGCAGCCTTCTAGGATGAGTGACGTGATGAGTGCCATAGTGTTTGGCTGAGATCTCCCAAATCTGTGGCAACAGTATTGTGAAGGACACGGCGCCAGATCTCCGTCTGCACTCCTGACAGCCGATGACAGACATCTCATGAGAGCTCGGCACATACAGCCCTGCGGCCTATCGTCTATCCCAGGAGTCGGGAAGGGGGAGAGGTGAAGGGCCGTTACCCTCGCCTAGGAGAGGAAGAAGGAAGTTACATCTTAGAGTATCCAAAAATGTATTTACAAAGAAAATAATAATATTCAGCAATTCTATAAGAAGGAGGGGAGAGGAAAGAGACGGGACGGAGGTGTAAATTTGGTGGACGGGTCACTTTAAAGGATGACAGTTCAGAAGTTGACTATGACTTGTGTGTGATAAGCCGGGAATGATAATATATCTTTCCCCCTCCCTTTTAGATTGTAAGCCCTCAGGGGCAGGGCCCTCCTTCCCATCTTGTGTTGATCTGTATTGTGATTGTAATGTCTTCCTTATATTGTAAAGCGCTGCGCAAACTGTTGGCGCTATATAAATCCTGTATAATAATAAAAATATATTGTGCGTCCTTCTAATACGGTAATACTCTATTCCCAGCAGGTTCCAGAATGCAGGATACATTAGAGTGTGACAGTTCCGGAGTTCCCCTCTTCAAACCAGCACCGGAGACCAGGAACCATGAGCAGGCCGTTCCGGTATGTACACGAAGCAAAGCTCTATAAGAATCTGTAAGATGCGGACCACTGGGAGCTTCTCACAATGTGCATTAGAAGCTGCAGCAGGTCAGATAGAGCCCGCCTCACTTCCTGGCTGGGGAATGTCCAGCATCATCTATCCCTTTCCTCTCTAGCCTGACTGCCCCTGGCCCCGCCCTTTTTATTCATTTGATTGCTGTTCTTTCAATCATGAAGGATCAGCATCACATGTGGGCGGTCTGCATGCAAATCCAGCCTGCCCAGGAACACCCCCACCTCCAGACTGACCCCCACCCATCAAGGCATTTTTACATTTGCATAACGCCTCCCAAAACAGGTTTCATTTTAAAATTTAATTAGCGTGTTGGTAAGGGGTAGAGGGGGAACCAGGGAAGGCAAAATATAAGCAGGGTAAACTTCAAGTTATTGCAAGTTAGACCGAGTGCTTTCACTTCATTTGATTATTGGATGATGACAGAAGCTCGGAGACAGTATGAAGAGGGATCTCCGTATAAATGTTAATGGCGTTCAGCAATGATTGGCTGACACTTTGGAGCCGCGTGCTGCACTGACTTAATGGTAGTTCATGGTGACAGATCAGGCTGCCTCTTACTGGCCTGACAGTGTAACACTATGAAGTCTTCCTTCCTGTAGATGTGGCAGTGACCGGGGAACCTTGGGGGACATGGGACCTCAGGGAGTTTGCACAGAGAGCAATCCCATGAGCTCCGGGGCCACTATAGGATATGTAGCCCCCCTGTACCACTATCAACTGCAATAGTCAGCCCACCCAGACCTGATGTCTCATTATTTGTCTTCTTTTTAACTTCCTCTTCTTTAGGTTCTCACATCCACAGACCAAACCCCAGGAGACCTGGAGGTCGCAGCCTCCGCCCAATCTAAGACCACGCTCACCGACTTGCTGGACACTTTAAAACAGCTGGAGGAACCTGAACCTTTGCTCGACAGTAAACCCGACGGCAAAGACAAGTTCAGCTGGATCGATGGGGTAAGAAGAACGCAGGTCGCTGAAAGGATTTATTTTTTCAGTTTCACATCCCCTAGTTGCAGATCTCTAAATTGGCCCCAAAAAACCTAAGGGTTTAAGTCAATGGGCAAATGCAGCGTGCTTTCAGGTGCAGTCTGCTTGCATTCGAGGTGAGCCTCCATAGATGACAGAAGTGAAATACAATCAGATGGAAGACTGAAGGTAAGGATGGAGGTCAGATAGAAGACTGAAGGGGAGGACGGAGGTCAGATAGAAGACTGAAGGGGAGGCCGGAGGTCAGATAGAAGACTGAAGGGGAGGCCGGAGGTCAGATAGAAGACTGAAGGGGAGGACGGAGGTCAGATGGTAGGCTGAAGGGAAGGACGGAGGTCAGATAGAAGACTGAAGGGGAGGACGGAGGTCAGATAGAAGGCTGAAGGGAAGGACGGAGGTCAGATGTTTACAGTGAGGCATGATGCCAAACATACAAACAATGGATCTTGGGTTTACATACACTTTTTTTTATATTATTACTGTGCATTTTGTTCATCAGTAGATAATATTGGTTATCGGGTAAATATGACATTGTTCATATATATATATACCCCTCCTTACCAGCAGAGGGCGAGAGTGGATCTGGTACTTGAGTGTTTTTCACAGCTGTCATAATGCTGCACTCTGAGCACAGACCTGAATATTGGGATTTTAACCTCTTGCCGTCCGCCCGTAGTAGAAAAACGGACGGACGGCACTGCTGCATCTACGGCAATTTTTTATGCACAAATTTACAGCTGAATGACTCTGAGTTGTGACATACCTCCTCCCCCTCCTCCTCCTTTTCTGGGAAGGCTTCCGCAAAATTTGCAGTGTGCAGTGAAATCAGAGGAAGTCATTTCAGTCCAGGAGAAGAGCCGGTACAACTATGCAAGACTGAAAGGAAGGCCGGAGTGTTGCTAGTGTACCCACACAATACTTCCCCTGAAAACAAACTTGGTTTTTACGGTTCCTCATTGCCCGAGTTATCCATTCATTCAGCGATAAGACGTCTTTGGGTGGCCCGCGGATGTTATAGCCATACAAAGAGCACTGAACTCCCCTGATGCAGCAACAAACACGCTTGCATATTGTAATTGAATCATATCTCCCATCCTCTGGAACTCTTTACCCCAACCTGTCCGTCTATCTCCCACCCTGACTGTCTTTAGGCGTTCCCTAAAGACTCATCTCTTCAGGGAAGCCTATCTCACCTCAACCTGACCACTGAACCATCACTTTCTCAAACAATTCATCCCCACACAGCTACCTCCTCATGCATCATTTCCCCCTCCTCTTTCAGATTGTAAGCCCTCAGGCGCAGGGCCCTCCTTACCATCCTGTCTTGAATTGTATTGTAATTGTAATGTCTTCCTTACATTGTAAAGCGCTGCGCAAACTGTTGGCGCCAGATAAATACTATGTAATAATAATTGTAACGGACCTCACTTCTTTTTTTTTTTTTCAGGATGCCGAAACCTCCTTGACCATCGATAACTTGGAACGGCTCGGCCAAATGATGCGCAGAAGTCAGGCGGAGCAGAAGCAAATCCAGAACGGGACTCTCCTGTCCGAGGCCAAGTTGCAGAATATCATCAGTTTTCTGGATGACATGGAAAAAGCTGAGCAGGAGAGACCCCGATCCTCTGCTTCAAACACACACAGAGGGGTAACTAGAGCCCGGCATGCATTAAAATGTATTTATTTATTTTTTACTTTTGGGTTGAGTGTTGAAGGGTTAGAACCCCGGTTCGGTTTCAGTTGCTGAACATCTGTATGTTTGTATATCCGAGGTGCTAGATTCCACTTGTCAGTAGTTAATGGCTGAAGAAAGTCAGTCGAGTTCATGTGGAATGGAGTAGCTATGGTGGGGCCGCTCTCCACAAGAACCAGGTGCCGCTTGTCATGGGGACCCGGAGTTTTAAGATCTATGTGTAAAAAGTCTGATGAGAGTTTCAGCCAAAAGATCTAAGAGTCTAAAATATTATAATATTAGTGTTTACTAGGGATGCACCGATACCGATTTTTCGGTATCGAGTACCAATTTATTAATTTTTTTTGGTACTTGCCGATAACAAATACCGATATCAGAAGTCCCATTAAGGAAGCCGGGCGGCGTGTAATGACGGGAAGCCATCTTCATGCTACCTCGTCTCCAGGGGACAAGGAAGCATGGAGCCGGCTTGCCGGCCAATCAGGAAAAAAAAAAACGGTCCCTCGTCACCAGGTGATGAAGCATGGAGCCGGCTTTCTGGCCAGTCAGGAAGCCGGTAGGCGGGTAATGACTTGCCACCTGGCTCCCTGATTGGCCAGCTTCCGACCAGTCAGGAAGCCGGACAGCGAGTCATTACACGGCGTCCGGCCTCCTGATTGGCCCGAAAGCCAAGTCCATGCTTCCTCGTCACCTGGCGACGAGGTAGCATGGAGACGGCTTCCCGTGTAATCGGAAAGCCAGGTGGCGACTCATTACACGCCCCCCGCTTCCTAATTTGGGCGGGAAGGCAGCTCCATGCTCCCTGGTGACGGGAGGAGCAGAGAGCCGGCTTCCCCGCCAATCAGGAAGCCGGGCAGCATGTAATGACTTGCCGCCCGGCTTCCTGATGCTGTAAGTTCCGGTATCGGTCTAGACATCGGGAGCATTTGAGCAAGTACGAGTACTCACCCAAATACTCTGTATCTGCACCCATACCAACACTAGTATCAGTATCGGTGCATCCCGAATGTTTACTGATAGCAAGACATCATGAAACAGCCTAAACACAGATTCAGACACGCCCCTTCATCAGGGCTTGTAAATTCTGTAACTAGACTCAATAGGGTGCACCTATTACATGTATAATAAAGAGCGGTACTAGCAGGTTGCATAGCAGAGTATATGATCTAGGAGGTATAGGATGAATGGGAGGCCCCACACAGAGTATATGTCCTGTTAATACTGCTCCTTTTATTATACTGTATGCATACACGCTTATCATTGTCAGTAGGAACAGTAATTAATCTGGGAGGAGAAATCTCCCAAATGACATTTGTTTCGGTAATTACTGAAGTGCATTTCCGCTCACTTCCTGTTATGTTTCCAGGGCAGGAAATGAAAGAAAATCTCCATAATGGGACACCGCAACAAAAGAAAGAAAGACTGTCAGCAGTCAGTTTACTACCCACAGGTTGGCTGGGGAAATAAAGCGGCACTCCATATCAAACGTTTCTTTGCTTTAGATAGAGTTGGGAAAAGTTACAGCCCATCTCCAGGCAAAGAAACAAAAGTACTCATGCGGTGTGGCTACAACCCTGCAAGGGTTACGTTCTCATTGTTGTCTAGGGGATTGGTGTAAAGCAGATTTACTTATGTGATCTCAGCTCCCTCAAAGCTGCTGTACCAGTTCCCGCAGCCTCTTCTCCCATTTGCTCCGGCAGTCTAAGGACCACTGACCACCGGCGAGTAGTGGGAATCAGGTTAGTAAATCTACCTACCTACTTGGGTTCCCTTAGACAAAAATAGGCACTTGCCAATATGTGGGGGTGGCCCAACTGCAAGGGCACTTTTTTGTTTGCCCGGAGAGTGGCTTAAAAGAGAACAATTGGGGTAACCTTTTTATCCCATAGTTCTCGTTAGGGTCACAGGAGGACATATACTAACCTCTTCCCGTGATCCAAAACTCAGTATGTATAGAGCGCTATTGCCCGCTATGTACTGCGAGCGCGGCAGCCGGGACGGATCCTGACCATACTGTCGAGATCCACCCAGCTAGCTGATTGACAGCTGGCTCTGCCTATCTAGAAGCAGCCGTTCCTCCAGCCAGCGCTGGAGGAACGAGGAGGGGGAGGATCCCTGCGGGGAGCCGTGACTGACAGTTGCCGCTCTCTGCAGGGAGATGATCGGAAAGTGAGCGAGCGACGGTATGTGTTCGCTCACTTCCCGATCTAACTATGAGGAAAATCACTCCCCTCATAAATCTCCTTTTAAATCTATTTTTGGCTTTTATCACTCTCTGGGTTTTTTTGGGGGATTTTTTTTCCCCATACTTCCTGTTGTATCATAAGTGACAGAAAGCGAGACATATAAAATACACTATTATTAAAACCTCAATGTCTTCCCTGATCAGACCATGCTGTCCGAGGAGGAATTGACTCATCTAGAGCAGGCCTCGGCTGTAGCTACAGAGGTGACGAGCTCCATGCTGAAGATGCGCCTGGAGCTGGAGGAGAAGAGGAAAGCCCTGGGTCTTCTGCAGACAGCCCTGGTGAGTATCTCTGCACACGGACACCGTTATCATTACCAAACAGCATAATATAAAACTCTGCTCATGTGCAAAATCTGGAGATTGGCTATCTCAGGGACCCCATCATGCATCCACTGGGCATCAGAGAGCGGCCACAATACAATATTCATCCCATTAGATTGGGACTTTCCAATCCGACCCTCCGACTACTGCTCCACCACTCCAGTGGTCCTGCTCCTGTCACTCCGCAGTCCTACTGGGAGAGCTCATTTTTTCCACTGACAGATTACAACCTTGTCTATAGAGGAGTTAGGGACGAGGGTTAGTCAGTAGCCTGAATGCTTTGTCTAAACAGTCCACAGATCCCAGCCATGGACCAGTATGGTGTCTTTAAGCTGCCACCACTGACATACTTTGCACAAGAATGTTGAGAGCCACTTCATGTGCACACTGTTACAGTGTCAGTTATTTCACTGCATTGCCTGTCAGTGTCTTAGGCTGGTAGGCTGGCCAGGGGCTACCAGCCTAACATACTGACAGGCAATGCAGTGAAATAACTGACACTGTAACAGTGTACACATGAAGTGGATCTCAACATTCTTATGCAAAGTTGTCAGGTTTCAGACACCATACTGGTCCATAGCTAGGATCAAATCCTATCGCCCGACACCCGTGACATGCAGTTCCGTGTGCCAGGCAGGTGTTGTTTTTTCTCTCTCTACATTTAGCCCTGCTGCCAGCAAGTAAGACTAAATGTAGAACAGAAGAGCCACCGCTTGTTTTGTACAAGTGATCTGGGTGGCCGCCTGCTTCTCCCTCCCCATACTAAACATATTATTAAACTTCCTGATCCTTTTTATCTAGCATGGAATCAGACTCGCTTTCCACACTGCCTTTTCCTGTCTCAGAGGCTGCCTCTGCCTATCTGTCTTAAAGACTTTATTTCTACATTTGCCCATCCTGCCCCATAAGTTGTTTTCCTTTCTTATCCATTCAGGAAGACTTAAAGCTTTAGGTTATACTGCTGCCTACAGGAGGATTAAAAAAAACTGTAGGCCAGCCCAGGGTCATTTTTCCTACGGTACTACTAACATGCCTTAGTTTTTTTGCTATTGTTCTATTATGACGGACATCTGTTATTCTATACTGAGAGCTGCAGCACCCTCAGTATATATTGAGCAATAGCCTGCTATATACTGAGCTTTGGGTCACAGGAGGATGTTGGTATATGTCCCCCCCGTGATCCTAAAGAGAACTATGGGATAAAAAGTGCTTTGCTGGGTTTAAAGACGAACCTATTTTTTGCAAGCACTTTTTTATCCTTTTGATTTTATTTTTAAATACTATAACTGCTGGGGCTTTGTCTGCTGGTTCACAGCTACCCAGCGCAGTCATCCTAAGCCTGGCTATTGGAGTACCGCAGGCAGACCCCACTGGACTGGACATTGAAGGATAGCCAGGAAGTCGTCTTCAGACACTTGGTTTCATGTGGGGCACTTTGCGAAATCTGGTCTGATAAAAGTTAGCCCCGGCGTGCTTTCCAGGTCCTGCACTGGCATTGCTTCAGCTCTGTCTCTGTAGACTCGCTTGTGGGCCAGTTGGGCTGAGCACTGGGAGTCGCCTTATTTGCATAGATCACTGGGTGCCTTTTTCCCCCGTTCCTGACAGTTTTGGCCACAGAAGGGGTTAATGCTTCAGTATGAGAGTCCTAAACCTTGATGGTAGCTGTCCTGATATTACACTCTTAGGTGAAAAGTGCTTCTGTTACTAACAAATTGGATTCCAGCTACCAATTGGAGGAATGCGGTTGTTATGGTGAATCTTTTATCGATGAGATCCCTGCAGTCTGTGATCATTGATGGTCTCTTATAACTGCCTGACCCCTTTCCTTCACAGGTCCAGCAGCGCGAGCTGACGGTACGTCATGTAAAGCAGACCGAGAAGGAGTTGGGGTACCAGCTGAAACAGCAAAGTGAGCAATACGAATCCACCATCCAGAGACACCTGACATTCATAGACCAGGTAATGGCATTACAGGTGGTAGTAAAGGGAACCTGTCACTTGTCTAAGAAAAAAAAATCCCAGCCCGCAGCCCCCTGTAATAGAAGACGCTGAATACCTACCTGAGCGGTAAGTGAAATGTTTGGTTTCTTGCAGAGCTAAGAACGCAGCTCCGGGTACATAGCCAGCTGTGCCGGATAGCTTGTCCTATGCTGCATTCTGCAGGTCCTTTGTAATAAGAGATCTGACGCTGCTGCAGAAACACTTGTCTGCACAACGCCAGCTGCCAATTGCCGACTCCCCAAATAGTTCATTTTACACCTCTGTGTCAGCAGTGTAAAGAAAGAAGGCAGCCGCACTCCAGGATAAAAGCCACTGTCATAGTTTAATGATTGAATTTAGTGTAAGATGGATCGCCTGGACTCCTCCTCCTAACTGGCTGCTATGTCACTGCAGGTTGCAGTAGTGGCCAGCAGGAGGACCCGTGGGGGGAACCCTCTGTGACGCACACAGAAGTATAGCAGCTGTGCTCCTTGCTCTGCAGATTTCAACCTTCCACCTTCCGACACCCAGCTATATGGAAGCAGAACAGGTCCAGTTCAACCAAAATGCAGCCCAATTTGGGGCAACTCTTATACTTCCCTGAAGATATAAGTGACCCTGAGCTGCTTTTTTTAAAAACTGCACATTTATAACGTACAGCAATGTACCTGGTGCTCCAGTTGTTTTTGGATGCTCTGTTCTCCTTGCTGGAGGGGAAGCTGTACCTGAAGACCTGCAGTACAAGGATCTCTCTAAACTGTAAGGCCTTGTTCACACCAAATGCAGAGCAGATCCGGTCAGGTTTCTGCACACGCAGTGCAGTGGATTGTGCCGCGTTTTTGATGCGTTCCGGGCCGTTTTTGGTAAAAAAAAAAATATATATATATTTTTTTTTAAGTTTAACATGGGCTTTCAGGCACTTGCATGCGTTTTTGATGTGTTCCAGAGCAGGTAAAATAGGGCTTGTCGCAGTTTTTTCACCTGCTCAGATCTGCACGCTGCGATGTGAACTGGAGCTCAAAATACCATTGGAATACATTGGGCGCAGTTTTGATCCGGTCTGCACCTGCTCTGGTCTGGATCTGCTCCGCGCCTGGTGTGAACAAGGCCTAAGAAACAATGCTCCCTCCCTGCATCCAGCTCTGACAAGCCCAGGGAGATATCGGGTGCCCACTGCAGGAGCAAGCTTGGAGCTGCATAAAGTTGATTTTACAGAGTGATGTCACCAGCGTGTGGCTGCGGACTTTACACAAGGATCTCCTTGTCTCATTCATTCTGTGGATATGAGGAGCTTCCTCCATTTCTGCTTCTTCAATTACCCCACCAGTCATCTGATCACCAGTTATCGGTGGGGGGGGGATGGGACGGTGGTGGTGGGGGGGCAACTCTTAGATGAGGAAACAAAACCCTGCTCTCTACCAAGATGGCTGCCGCCACGTAGAGACACAGTACAGAACAAGGCATTGTAAGTCAGTAATGGGGAGACATCAACTACAGGAAGACCACAGGAAGTACTACTGACTAGTGATCTTCTTGCCTTTTTTCAGCACAGGACCTCTTTGAGGCTGGGTTCTCACCATTTTCCGGGCCAGATCTGGAACATAGTGCATTGCTTTTTTGCCGCATTTTTACTGCAAAATTTTGCCGCAAATTGAACTTTTTTTTAGCTTGAAATGGTCGTACTGGTGCGTTCCATGTGTTTTTGATGCATTCCAGACCAGACAAAACAGGACAAGCGGTATTTTTCTGGTATGGTTTGGAACGGACTGCGCTGGTGGGAACAGAGGCCAGAAATAGCATAGGGATACATTGAGATGCATTTTGGAAATGGTCTGGTCTGGAGGTAATCTGGATGTGGTGTGGATGGGCCCTAAGCCACACAGGAGACACCACAGACCTACCTGTATAGATATTTCTTTTGGAAGATGATCCTATATTCGCCGTCTGGCTCATGTACTGACTTAGTCACTCATCTAGAACAAGTGTTCAGGTCCAAAACGCATTAAATTCAGGCTGAATGTTGGAACTTAAGTGCCGATATGTGCGTTGTTTTTCAGCCGGCTGTGTTAGAGAGAGCCTGCCTTGAAAGAGAAGTCTACATGTGATACAGGGGCTGTGCTGTCTGCTATAAGATGCATTTGCAGTTGCGCTTTTATATGCACAATATTCATTTTTTTCTCCAGCTCATTGATGACAAGAAAACCCTGAGCGAGCGCTGCGAGTCTCTTGTCACCGATCTGAAACAGGTGGATCAGAAATACGCCAGTAAGATCCGCCAGATGCAGGAGCAGCACGACACGGTAAGGGATGAGACCTACTGTGGATTCATTGGTGGTCAGGTTTCTTGTGGTCCTGCTGCATAAGACAGGAAATCCCAACACTTCTCTGTGACACAAAGGCAACCTCCTCTCAGATATGTCGCTTTTGGTTGGACTTCGCTGAATTAAACAGCCTGAGGGCTTCTCATTTCCGGTAGCCAGGTTCTCTAACAGTGGTTTGTGTCTGTACCCCTCCCGCAGAGATGTCACCCTCACAGCTTTGCATATATTATAGAGCCTTGGTTCTCAACTGGTGGGTCGTGAGCCAAAAGTGGGTCTCGACCCCGTGTTCAGTGGGTCGCCGCGAGCCTTCAACTTTTCTAGGCAAGAGGCTCCTCAGCCTCGCACTAGCGCAGCAATGTCCGTTCTCGCGCTGAGCAGACATTAAGATTATGAAGCCTGGCACAGTGTCAGCTTGAGGTGCAGTGGGCTGGAGCTACGGCAGAGAGGGAGCTGGAATGCCATGTGTTTCATTGCAGTGCAATGGGTCGCAACGTAATTACCAAGGACTAATGTGGGTCCTGAGGTTACGCAGGTTGAGAACCACTGTTATAGAGAATCCATTAGGGGAGGCTGCCGCCATCATTTCATCTTGTAATGGCCATAACATGGACTGAGATGTCTTGCCATTGCAGTGTATATTTGGTACTCATCAGCATCAAATGCAGAGGTTGTGAAGGATTCAGCCCACCATGCAGAGTACTATCGGAGCTTCCTGCTCATGTTTATTTATCAGTGAAGCAGGAAACATAAAAGGTTTACCCTTGCAGGGGTTTGTTCCAGCTTATCGCAGCCACAAAGCAGTATCTGGCATCTTGGCTGTTGGCCAGTTTGGACCTGGGCAGGCTCCCCATCTGTTCAAGAAGCATATCACTCTGTAGAGACTGCCCCACTGGTATATACTGTGCATCTGACATTGGCATGTACAGGGTGCCCATCTGAAGGACCAGACAGACCCAGACATGCGCCTCATCGTGCCTCCTACCTCTACGAAACGAAACCCACCTCTCATCTGACTCCTTCAATGGGCTACTTGGGACACTTTCCCTGCTGAGCTGGCTCTTGGTGTCATTTACCACCTTAAATGACAATAAATAAATCTAATATAAATATAAAAATATCATTATATATATATCTCTATGTATGAATTATCTCTATATAGATAGATAGATATATTTGATAGTAACAGTTGCTGAGAGCTGTCTTTAGACTATCTGCCTTTATGACCTTCTCCTGTGCTGACCTGTTACCTCTCCCCCTCTCTTCTCTTCCCTCTTCCTCAGGTTTGGCAGACTCTGGGCCCCCTGTGTGAGGTAATCGCCCCCTGCCTGCTCCGTATACATTGTCCAGTCTATCTACATCCCTTATGTTGTGTACAACACATCCTCCCCGGGCCCCAAAGCCCCACTGTGAATACACGCCAGCCTATGTCCATACTGCCTGTCCTTTTCTGTTATATCCTCAGAACTGCATTATGCACCTCGCCAAACCGCACAGTCTGGGGCAGGGGGTGGGCAATGCTGGCACTCCAACTGTGGTGCACCTACAAATCGCATGCGGTTTTGCAAGACTCTTCAGCCACAAGCATGACTTCCAGAGACAGATGCATGGTGGGAGCTGTAGTTTCACCACAGCTGGAGGGAAAAGGTTTGCCTACCGTTGGTCTAGGGGGTTTCTGTTTTGTCCTGTGCATGTTTCTGTAACTCCCTTATTAACATATGCTTGTTGCAGCGGGAGGCCCCTTTAACGCGCACCTGAGTTTTGGTAATAACAAGGGTTTGAAAGTTTATGTCAAGGCAAGATAACAAAATAAAGCGCATGCTCTACATATCTGTAATACTGAACATTTCTCCATGTGTTATCCTACGATAGGCCCTGTAAGTACAGGAAGGCACTCAACTCCTAAGTCCTATTGCAGGCTGACAACACGCAGCTTTTGTTGTGAACTCAGTGGTGTCAGCCCTGCCCAGTTTTCCTTTGCTAAACTACTCAATCCCACCCACTCTCCTAATCTCAAAAACATAGACACTAACTGACCTGTAATCCCAAGATAAGAACGGGGAGGACTAATTTGACTCCTTAATTATATGTCCAGCTTTAGTTTTTGCATCAAAAATAATTTGTCTTTGTGAAGCTAGTTTAAGAAAAAAGAAAATCCAACTGGAGGACGAGCTTGGTTTTGCAAATAAAAATTGGCACATTTAGGAGGTATGTAAGAGCCCAAGGGGGCATTTGAAGAAACCCAAAATATAGGCCTTTTATATTTGGGTGGATCTATAAATCAACACTTTGTACATTGCGGCAGTGCGTTGGCTTAGAGCAGGGGCAGGAAATCTCGGCACTCCAGCTGCGGTGAAACTACAAATGCTATCATGTCCCTACCTCTGGGAGTCATGTCTTTGGCTGTCCGAGTTCTGCAATGACTTATGGGACTTGTAGTCCCGCAATAGCTGGAGTGCTGAGGTTGCCTCCATCTGGCTTGGCGGGAGAGTTGGGTCTTCAAGGTACCACAAATCTGTAACAGTTGCATGACAGTTCCACTTTAAAATGGCGCCGGGCAGCTCCTTCTGTGTCATGACATCACTCCTCTGTCTCCATGCCGCATGAAAACGACAACCTCCTGATGAGCGGACGAGCCCTTCGCTGTACTAATCCGCTTCCTCGTATCTTGCAGGAGATGAAGAAGCTGCAGGAACTGATGACGGCCACAGAGAAAGTGCGCAGGGAGAAATGGATCGACGAGAAAACAAGGAAGATTAAAGAAATCACCGTCAAGGGTAAGCGGCTTCTTACCCTCTTCTAGATTGACTTCCCTCAGCACCGTGTGGCATGCGTCACTGCACTGGGCTCTCACCAACAGCATTACTCTGACTATCGGGAACCTCTGATTGGCTCCCGATCACATGATCACTGTAACAAGCCATTCATACAGATCACATGGCTTTCTTTACAAAACAAACCTGCGGGCTCAGCTGTCCTTACAGGAGGAGGCATGCTGACAGTGGAGGCCGGAAGGCTGCAGATGGTAAAGTGATTATACAGGTTATAAAAAAAAGTTTTCAAAGTGAAGACATCAGCCGAGTGCGATGGCTTCTAATGTAGAACACCAGCAGGGAATGTATTAAACTGGTGTAGCAAATAAAAGCCATATGGGTCCTTTAGCCCCCTTAGTGACGGGAGACTTACACTGTGCTTACCCGCCACGAAGGGCCCAAATGACTTGTAAGCCCCCCTATGTGATGGCAATCAAAGTAAAGTTAAAGGAGAACTATGGAGTCAGGGCTTTTCCCCATAGTTCTCCTTCGGGTAACGGGAGGACACAAACTAGCATCCTCCCGTCACCCTAAGCTCAGTATACAGGGAGCTACAGCTCGCGGTATACTGAGACGCCGCAGCCGGGACGGATCCCGACATTACTGTCTGGATCCACCCAGCTGCATGAGTGACAGCTGGCTCTGCCTATCTAGAGGCAGAACCAGCTGTCCCCGCCCCCTCCCCCGTCCGTTCCGCCAGTCAGCGCTGGAGGATCGGACAGGGGAGGGGGGGAATCCCTGCCGGGAGCAGTGAGTGACAGTCACGGCTCTCTGCAGGGACAGGATCGAGAAGTGAGCGAGGGACGGTATGTGTTCTCTCACTTCCCGATTTTATTGAGGTGACGTGTGACAGTTTCATTGTCACACGTCGGCTCGAACTATGAGGTGAGTGATTTTCACTCACCTCATAGTTCTCCTTTAAAAAAAACAACAGTTTTTAAAATTAACATTAAATAAAATAAATGACAAAATAAATGTATTTAAAGGAGAACTATGAGGTGATTTTCACTCCTCATAGCTCTAGCCGACGTCTGACAATGAGACTGTCGCAGGTCGGCTCAATAAATCGGGAAGTGAGCGAACACATACCGGCGCTCGCTCACTTCTCGATCCTGTCCCTGCAATGAGCCGTGACTGTCACTCACGGCTCCCTGCAGGGGACCCCCCCCCGCTCCGATCCTCCAGCGCTGAGTGGAAGAACAGGCTGACGGAAAGGGCGGGCACAGCTGGCTCTGCCTCTAGATAGGCAGAGCCAGCTGTCAATCACGAAGCTGGGTGGATCCAGACAGTAATGTCGGGATCGGTCCCGGCTGCGACTCTCTCCGTCTATAGAGAGCTGTAGCTTGCTATATACTGAGCTTTGGGTCACAGGAGGAGGTTAGTATATGTCCACCCGTGACCCTTAAAAGAACTATGGGGAAAAACGCTTACCCCATACTTCTCTTGTAAAGTCCCCCGCGAGCACCCTTCCTTTTCCCTTTTAAATATGTTTTATGATGATGACAGACAAACATGAAAATGATTGACGGGCGATTGATGTGCGCAGCTCATTGGTGGCCTCTGAACAGATGCGGTGTCCTAATAGTAGGCCGCCTTCTCTACTTCAGCCACTAGATGGCGCCGTGTGATGAGGAGAATGCGTCTCTTGGCACATGAAGCTGCTTTATGCGTTGAACGTCCCTCTGAGTAATGCGCCCGGAATAGTTGCCGCGCAGAAACAATCGGCGATAGCCGCGTATGACGCGCCAGGTCAATTTGGTTCAGAAATGCAATCGCTCGGTCTTCCTCAGCATGGCCTGCAGTACGGCCCAGATGGTTATGTAGGTCGCTGTCTATTCACACAGCGAGCAACAAACCCAATTTATGATGTCACGTCTAAAGTGGCAAAACGAGGCGGAGTCTCTAGTGTACCCGTGACAGATCCAGGCATGTGATGGCAGTGCCTGCTTTACGTCATGAGTGCCTGGAACATATCTCGAGGGTCTCATTTCAAGGGTGCTGTAAAAGAGAAATAACGCCAAAGACTGCAGTCATACTACAGGAGATGGTCAGAGACTGCAGTCATACTACAGGAGATGGTCAGAGACTGCAGTCATACTACAGGAGATGGTCAGAGACTGCAGTCATACTACAGGAGAGGATCAGAGACTGCAGTCATACTACAGGAGATGGTCAGAGACTGCAGTCATACTACAGGAGAGGATCAGAGACTGCAGTCATACTACAGGAGATGGTCAGAGACTGCAGTCATACTACAGGAGATGGTCAAGGACTGCAGACACACTACAGGAGATGGTCAGAGACTGCAGACATACTACAGGAGATTGTCAGGGACTGCAGACACACTACAGGAGATGGTCAGAGACTGCAGACACACTACAGGAGATGGTCAGGGACTGCAGACCCACTACAGGAGGTGGTCAGGGACTGCAGACACACTTCAGGAGGTGGTCTGAGACTTCAGACAATACTACAGGAGGTGGTCTGAGACTGCAGACACGGAGGCGGCCAGAAACTTTTGCACCCTAGAGGAGACGGCAAGAGACCGCCGACATCCTAGACCAGGGGTAGGCAACCTTGGCTTTCCAGCTGTGCTGAAACTACAAATCCCATCATGCTTCTGCCTCTGGGAGTCATGCCTGTGGCTTGCAATGCCTTATGGGATTTGTAGTTTCAGCTCAGCTGGAGAGCCAAGGTTGCCAACCCTGCCCTTGACCCTAGAGGGAGGTTGGGGGGTGAATTTAGGTGATGTCAGGGCATGCACTTTAACTGCAATGGACTGACCTGATAGTCCTGTCTAGCAGCAGTGTCTGGACCACAAGCTGAACAGAATTTTCCACCTGACCGATAAGATTCCGCCTAAAATGATGCCTGCGGATACGTTAAACCTGTTTATGTCACCAATGTATTTGTACAGTGAAGTGTACATTTGTCTTGCGTCAGCGGTGGAATTTCCCAGCTCCGCCCACAGCTCTTATTTGCTCGGGGGGGGGAATTAATTTACTTTTCCCTGGTGATCGCTGACGTCCACAATACGATTCTTAGCATTACAAACACCCCCCCCAATCCGATCACTGACCTGCGTTTTCCCATTACCTGGCGTCACGTTTTCACCCTTCGTGTCACATCGTGAGATCCGTTCTATGTCGTACACACGCACTGTGTCGGGAAGAAATCACTCCAAACCACTTACCTCAATCAGCGCAGTTAGGTAGGTTGCGTAATCAAAGTGAAAACCATCTTGAACGCTGCGGTCATTAAAGAGAACCTGTCAGGATTGAGCATATGCAATAATTTCAATAGTCTGTCTTAAAGCGCAACTCTGGGCTCCGCCCCCATGCCCACCAATGCTGACATGATGCTGCATCATTACAATGTGAGTGCAGGGTGCAGCGACGTCTTCTCTGGGTGTCCTGCACTCACTTGATGTCCTCAGTCTTCAAGGTTGAATGACATTAAGGGGTGTAGTTATAAAACATTCGCAGTTTCAGATTGATACCTCATTATGGCCACTAGATGGAGCTGAGGAGTATAGGAAATTCCCGTGCTCTTCAGCGCCATCTAGTGGCCATAATGTGATATGAATCTAAAACTCAGACTTGGGCACTGCAAACTTTTAATACATACACCCCTTATTGCAGGGGTGTGCAAACTCCGGCCCTCCGGCTGTGCTGAAACTACAAATCCCATGATGCATCTGTCTCTGGGAGTTGTGTCTATGAGCCTCATGGGATTTGTAGCTCCACAACAGCTGGAGGGTCCGAGTTTGCCCACCCCCTGCCCTGTCATTCAACCTGGAAGACTGAGGACATCTAGTGGTGGAAAGGAGTCACTGCAAGGGGCAGTCCTGGAGAGGAGGTGAGTATTACAGCCAGGGCTGCTGATTTGTTTTCTGGCGCTATTGGGGGAAGCATTAAAAAAAGGTTGGGCTTTATTGATGGTGTCTTCCTCTTCCCTGTCCAATAATCAAAGCCATTTTTTTTTTTTTCCCCAGGGCTAGAACCCGAGATCCAGAGACTCATCTCCAAACACAAGCAGGAAATCCGCAAGCTGAAGGCGCTGCACGAAGCCGAGCTCCTGCAGTCCGACGAGAGGGCCGCTACGCGCTACGTGCGCCAGGCCGAGGAGCTGCGGCAGAACCTGGAGCATGAGAAGGAGGAAGTGAGCCAGAGGGCACGAGAGCAGGCAAAGCAAAGGTGAGCACAAGGCTGTAGCCCCGGGGTGGACAATTCATGAGAACCTGGGACTGTTGTGGAGGGCCAAACCACTGGGGCCTGTTGGTTCAACACTTTGCAGCAGTTGCATTTTCTCATATGATTAACACATGCGATATTTCGGTTGCGCATGTTGCGGCACAGTTGATTGCACTGCGACTGGGAGGTGCATTTGGGGTGCCATTCAAAGGCGCCTCCCAAAGTATGTACCCGGTAGGAAAGGGTCCTTATAGTATGCATGTGCCACATACCTTTTTGTTCTCCACAGGCCGGAGCCGGGGGGTGGTGGTGCAGTTGGACTACAGAAGAGGAAGACGGTGTAAAGCTGGGGGGTGACTTTGTCACTGGTTGTTAGCACCGCACCGAGGTCCTAGCAACCAATGACTACAAAGAGGAGGACCCCTGACGTCATTGGTTGCTAGGACTGACCAGTGGTCCTAGCAACCAATGAGGTGAGGGGTCCTCCTCTTTGTAGTCATTGGTTGCTAGGACTGACCAGTGGTCCTAGCAACCAATGAGGTGAGGGGTCCTCCTCTTTGTAGTCATTGGTTGCTAGGACTGACCAGTGGTCCTAGCAACCAATGACTACAGACAGGAGGCCCCCTGACATCATTGGTTGCTAGGACTGGCCAGTGGACCTAGCAATCATTGACTACAGACAGGAGGACCCCTGACATCATTGGTTGCTAGGACTGGCCAGTGGACCTAGCAACCAATGACTACAGACAGGAGGACCCATGACATCATTGGTTGCTAGGACTGACCAGTGGTCCTAGCAACCAATGACTGCAGACAGGAGGACCATGGAAAGAAGATTTGGCCATTTGAGGAAAGAACGGACAATGTTTGTGGTTGTCACAAGTGTTCCTTTTATATATCGGATGCTTTGTGTGTACAGGTATGAGAAGCAGCTGGCCCAGGAAGAGCAGTCCCTGCAGGAGCAGCGCCGGCGCCTGTACAGCGAAGTGGCCGAGGAGAAGGAGCGGTTAAACCAGCAGGCTGCCAGGTGAGCGGAGCGACTGAAGGGGAATTCTGGTTTATTTTTTGTACACAC